GCTGATTGGTTGAATGGGTTTGGGATTACAGGGTAGACTAAGGAGTTAATCAAACAAGGGATTTGGATTCTGGCTGTAGTTCTTTTAGTCTTAATGACAATTCCATGCTTAATCCAATGTGTATCGAGTATGTTTCACAAATCCATTGAAGGCACATGGGTATCTCTTAAGTAAAAGAATTTACTTATGTTATAGAAAAGGGGGGAATTGAAACTGATGTGGCCTATTGTGTACAGGGGGGTTAGACAGAATGTACAGGGGGGGGTGTACAAGGAGTACTGCTTAAGTCATAGCTGGCTTGACAAGCTCAGCAGATGCCTTATCAGGCAGTACTAAGATAAAACTTCCTAACGAAGGGAATAGCTCATTAAACCAGTTAGACATAGACCAGACCCATCCAGCTCCTAAAGAGCATGCGTGAGGACCAGAGGTAAAAAGTTCAAGCCTGAGGAAGACTAGTTTACTTCATCTTGAAGACCTCTACCCACAAGAGGAAGACTACTTACTTCATCTGAAGACCCCTGCCCAAGACCACGAGGAGGCACTGCACATGAGTGGAGAGCCTTTTAGCTCATTATAATACGAAGCGGGGATAGAATATGAATATGTATAGGCGTATTGTGAGACCTAATACATATGTATGACTTTACAGGATAAATGTAAAAGGAAAACGGCACTGAGGCACACATGCCTTTTGGAGGACCAATCCCCCGTGCGTCTTCAGCTGAATAAAGCATACCTACTTTACAACTTTAATGAAGTTGTGGAGTCTATTCCGCTATCAGCAGGTAGCAGGTAGCAGTGAGATCCGAGCCACCAGTGGTCCAGGGCGAGCGGGGAGGCCTTGGGCAGGCGCAGATCGGCGTCTCCTGCCTGCTGGGCGCCCGGCACGGGAAGCCTCACAGCGCCTGGTGCTCGGTTCTGGGGGTAGTAAAGACATGGGGGGGGAGGGGGGTGTTACCCGGAGGTTCTTAATTCACACTGTACCTGCATGTGTAGGGGAAGGGGCTAAACAATTTCTGGCCGTTTCTGTCTTATTTTTACCCATTTGTGATCAGTTTTAAGCCTTTTTTGGCTCGTACTAAACCATTTTTGCCCATTTCTTGCCAGTTTTAAGATTATTTTGGCTGTTTCTAACCCATGCTTTCCCATTGCTAGCCCATTTTAAATCTTTTTTTGGCATTTCTAAACAGCTGATGGCCCACTCTGTCTTATTTTTGCCCGTTTCTTCCTAGCTGTAAGCCATTTTTAGCTATTTCTGATCAGTTTCTTGCTATTTCTAGCCTGTTTTAAGCTTTTCTTAGCTATTTCTAAACAGGTTTGGGCTATTTGTAACCCTTGTTTTGCCTGATTCGAACTCTCTTTAAGCAATTTTGGCCATTTCCAAACCCTTTTTTTCCAGTTCTCACCGATTTCTTGCCATTTCTAGCCCATTTTCGCCCTTTCCTGATTTGGTTTGAACCATTTTGGCCATTGTGAACCCATTTTGGTTCATTTCTAACCCCTTTTAAGTCTTTCTTGGCCCTGTTTGGTGTCTGTGATATCTGTTGAAATATTTAAACTGATGGAATCAGAATGAAGCGCCGTGTTGACAGTATACGTGTAGGTCTTGGAAAGGCTCCCCTGAAGTCTGGTTTTGGAGATGGGATTAAAATCTTGCCCACTGTTGCCTTGACTCAGCTATTGATAAGCTCAGTGGTGAAATTCCTGGGGTCTGACCAAAGTAATCAGAGCTGTATAACATTCAATTCTTGGTCAGATGACAGACCATTCAAAATCTATCTATGCCAAATTACAAGAGCTACAGGAAAACATTAAGTAATTGCAAGTTGATGGAGGGTTGGCTGTTTGAATGGGTTTGGGATTACAGGGTGGATTAAGGAGTTAATCAAACAAGGGATTTGGATTCTGGCTGTAGTTCTTTTAGTCTTAATGACAATTCCATGCTTAATCCAATGTGTATCGAATATTCGCAAATCCATTGAAGGTACCTGGGTATCTCTTAAGTAAAAGAATTTACTTATGTTATAGAAAAGGGGGGAATTGAAACTGATGTGGCCTATTGTGTACAGGGGGGTTAGACAGAATGTACAGGGGGTTGTACAAGGGGGCTAGACAAAATGTACAGGGGGATCTGATTAAGTCATAGCTGGTTTAACGAGCTCAGCAGATGTCTTATCAGGCAGTACCAAAACAGAACCTCCTAATGAGGGAATAGGGGGGGTTTGTACAAGGAGTACTGCTTAAGTCATAGCTGGCTTGACAGACTTCAGCAGATGCCTTATCAGGCAGTACTAAGATAAAGCTCCCTAACTCCTAATGAAGGGAATAGCTCATTAAACCAGTTAGACATAGACCAGACCCATCCAGCTCCTAAAGAGCATGCGTGAGGACCAGAGGTAAAAAGTTCAAGCCTGAGGAAGACTAGTTTACTTCATCTTGAAGACCTCTACCCACAAGAGGAAGACTACTTACTTCATCTGAAGACCCCTGCCCAAGATCACCAGGAGGCACTGCGCATGAGTGGAGAGCCTTTTAGCTCATTATAATACGAAGCGGGGATAGAATATGAATATGTATGACTTTACAGGATAAATGTAGAAGAAAAATGGCACTAAGGGACGCATACTTTTTGGAGGACCAATCCCTCGTGTGTCTTCAGCTGAATAAAGCATACCTACTTTACAACTTTAACGAAGTTGTGGTGTCTATTCCGCTATCAGCTATGTGGATATAACTGTATGAGTTCGCAAAGCTCGCTAAAGACACAAGATTAAACAAGTTGAAAATGGCCAGAACTCTTGAGCAAAATGGAGTCACATAGCAAAAGTATTTGTAAAGGTAAAAGAAATGGGGGGGACGACACACACTTGATATGAGAAAAGCTGGTGCCTGGAATATATAGGGTTAAAGTACTTTTAGCCTAACTTAGGTTGAAGATAAAGAACAATGTTTATGTTGTAAGTCTGTGGTGAGATAACAGGATTTAGTTGGCCCCACTAAACATGAATGAGTTATTTCACACCATCTGTCTACTTATCAGTTAGTTTAGAGACAGAGCCTCCCAAACATCTGCTAGCTTGGGATACTTCTTGTCTGCCTATCTTGCAATACATTTTGCAGGAAGGTCACACTGTTTTAAATCTTTGCTAGTTATCAGAAGAATTACAGATATGGCTGGTTTCACCTGGTTTTGTGATTACTGGGGCATCCAACTGTGCCAAAGGTGAAAAGTATACTGTGAGGAAGACTGCTTACTTCATCTTGAAGACCCCTACTCACATGAGGAAGACTGCTTACTTCATCCTCAAGGCCCCTGCCTACAATCACTGGAGAGCAGTGTGCAGACACCAAGAGGAGGGGACTTATGGTAATAAGCTCCTGAAGCTAGTTATAATATTCCCTGCCTATATGCGGGAATTATGAATATGTATGTGACTTATGCAATAGTGAAAGTATATAAACCTGTAACAAATGATCATCACTTGTGCCTCTGCCTATGGTCATGCACCCAGTGCTGTTGCTTTTGCTTTATTGACTTTGTCCCTCAATAAAACCTTGTTATCTTGTTTAGAGGAGTCAGCTCATATTTGACAACACTGTCCCATTTGGTATCAGCAGTCCTGGAGCAGAAAGGAGCCTACTGGTTATCTCCTGCACGTTCCTTAAAATACCAGGCTACCTTTGTGGAACAAGGTTGTGAGGTATATAGGAATGATTCCTGTCAGAAACTTAGGAGTCCTTGTCATCATTGCACTTTGGGAGGAATCGAAAATTATGTGTAGAATGTATACGAATGATCAGATTAAGATGGGAGTTCCTGTAAATACAGTGATTAAAAGAAGGAACAAAGGAATAATCCTTCCTAATAAAAGTATTTGTTACTTTAAGGGGTATTTTGTTTAACTACTTGAATGTCTCAAATGCTTTGCTAACTACAGAGGGTGTTTTGTTTAACTGCTTGAATACCTTAAGGGGGTTAGGTAATCAAGGGCTACATTCTGTTACAGGATGAGGTGAAACTTGTATATTCAATATGTAACTATATAAGAAATGGAATTGAGTGGGCTAAGATGGTGGTTAAGCTTGTGACAGACATTCCCTGTTAATGTATTGCCAAGGAATTCAATGACTTTTTAAGCAGTTTCATCACCCAAAGATAAGATCCCAGCAACAGGAGGAGAACAATGAAAAAAGAATCACGTCGGTATTTGAGTGAAGGAGACGACAGAATTGGATGAAACCCAAGACCGAGGAGTATAAGAGACTGTACCCCAGAACTCTCGTTGTGCGTCTTGGGTGGAGCGGAGACTCCCTGGCGCACCCAGTACTGCTTGCTTATTGCCTCTCGATATTAATCAATTGTAATAAAAAATTAATTAAATCAGATCATGGTCAAGGCGAAATTCTTATAACAAAGGTGATACAGAAATTGTGGTCACTAATGTTGTGAATCCAGCATCCTTTTGCAGGAACAACCAACAGAACCACTAACACACGACTGCTTGACCACTGGGTATTCGGGCCGACCAGACTTAATAAAGACGACAATAAAGAATGCCTGTTTGTCAACTTGCAAACTTTGCTTGCCAGTTTCTTCCTGGAGTTTTCTCAGCTCCGAGACGCTCCTGGCACGGAATGCTACGGAACCCGGAAGGGGTACGTACGCACTCTGCCAATGCGGGTGCACGCCTGTAGGTCAGTTAAACCTGCTCTGTCGCATCTCCTTTTCCGATCAACCGCCCCTAGTGGTCGCGTAGGACACGCGACTTCATTGTCCTCGAATCTTTTTTTTCTTTGAATTCGTCTTTCCTTGTTTTTTTTCCAGCTCGGGCAGCCCATTGACGTCTTAATTCACCAATCGGCGTCTCGGGCCGGCCCTTAGTGCCCCCTGTCCAATTCTCGCCCGGTATTTGTCAAGTGACAGGCAGCGGAACCAATGCACCTCTTCCCCGCCCACCACTGGGGCCGGGAGACGGTTGGAGCGAATAGGAGTGGGTGACTCCGCAGGGGAAGGCAGTACTGAGGTGGGGAGGGTGGCTGTGCAGCTTGGTGAGAAAAAGGTTGGTTTCCTCGTGGTTTGGATGGGTATTTTGGCGGTGCTGCTGGCGGGGTACGCAGTGTGGTCGCTCCTCGGGAAGGGACACTCCGTGGGCTGAATATGGTCTGGGGAACCTGGGCCGGGTATGGTTAGGTCTGGTTTGTCTGGGCCTGCTTTTAGGTCGGATCGATTCCGACGAGGGATAGACACGCCTTCCTGCGCCCTTCCCCCCTACTTGTGATGGAATGCGGCCGGCACTGAGAGCGGCTAGGCGGCCACGGTGAATGGGCTTTCGCAGCGGTTCTGGGTTTAGGGGCATCTCAGGGGAAGGAATCCCGCGGGGAGCGGCTTTTGTCGGCCGGTGGGGCCGGGTCTTACTTCCCCGCCGTCCACACGCCTTGAACGAGGGGCTGTGAGGGGTGGTAATGTCCGGCTTGTACTCCCCGGGTAGCTTGTGTGTGGAAAAAAAGGCAACAAACAGTTTATTTTTTGTATGTTGGTTTTTTGTTGGTTTTTTTTTTTTTTCCTTTCAAGACCAGGTGTGCGAAACTTAAGTTAACTTAACCAAGAGTTAACTGTTTAAAATGGCGAGGCTTTGGTTCAGCCGGTACCCTTTTGTCTGTTCCCCTCCTACTCCAAAGCTATGCATGTGGAATAAATGCTGCTTATATGAGATGTACATGCGAATTGAGATCCGTAATTTTCTTCATGACTCTACTTTAAATGCCATATGTATCTATGCATTGCAAGATATAAACACATTATCTGTTAAGCATTTCATCTGTCTAGATAAGTATATACTAGAAACTCTGCTGTAATAAATGCAAGTGTTGTTACTGCAGAGTTATAAAGTTCCTTTTTGTAATTTTTTGTATGGCAGGGAAGAGAAAAGATGTGATGTAGTTGACTGCTCTGCAGTTACATGGCTTATGTCATGGGCTATACCTGAAGTCACTGAAATAACGAAGAAAACTGGTTGAAGATCCAGTTTTCTTTATGTGTGAAGCTGTGTGTGTAATAGTTCTGGACAAGAACTTATCAACTTTCTTGAGGTAGTTTGATAAAAAGATTAACACAACTGAAAAAATGGCATTACAAAAACTTGGGCTCTTAAGTGATCTGTTCTTCTACCCAAAAGCTAGATTCACAAACAAAATCAAACTTAAATTACATAGTAAATCTTCAAATGGAAGACCCTCCTGGGTCCTCTTCCATCTTCCTGATGATGCGTGGATTGACTCCACAACTCGTTAAAGCTGTAAAGTAGGTATGCTTTATTCAGCGCTGAGACGCACGGGGATAATTCCTCAAAGTCATGCATGCCTCAGTATTGTTTCCCTCTACATTTATAAGGTTGCACCATACGCCTATACATGTTCATGTCCTATCCCCGCTTCGTATTACAATGAGCTAGAAGGTCCTTTGCACCTGAGCAGTGTCCCCTCTGGTCATGGGCAGGGGTCTCAAGATGAAGTAAATGAGTCTTCCTCCTGTGGGTAGGGGTCTTCAAGAGGAAGTAAATGAGTCTTCCTCTTCTGGAACTTTTCACCTTTTAGTCTTCACGTATGTCCTTAGGATTTGGTCCCTGTCCCAGCCATAAACCATCTGCTTCTCCCCCTTAACAGTAGATTCAGGGGTCTGCTTTTCCCTATCAATAGGTGCTTATCAGTAGGATCTGGTGTCTGCTTTTGATAGAACCAAGTGTCTGCTTTTCCTTATCAATAGTTAGTGCCTTTGTTCTGCTTAGTAGGCATGACAGGTACAGATAATACCTTTGCTTAAGCAAGTGAATTCCTCTAACCCCCCTGTACAACCCCCCTGTACATTGGTCAACCCTCTGCATCAATCCCCCCTTTTTCTATAAAGTGAGTAAATTATTTTACTCTATTATTTATGACAGAGCTATCCATGTCCTTTTATCAATTTATGAAGTGATTTCAATATACATTGTATTATGCAAGGTACAGTCATTAAAATGAGTAGTCGTATAGCTAAGATTAGAAGGCCTTGTTTAAGTATTTCCCTGAACCATCCAGTAACTCCTCGGTTATTTAGCCATTCATCCAATCTGTCTCCAACAATTCTAAGCTCTTGCATATTTTCCTGCAATTTTCACAGCTTAGCGTGAATCGATTCAGAATGGTCAGATAAGTTCATGCAGCACATACCTTCGAAATCCTCACAACCATATCCATGGGCCAATAATAAAAAGTCAATTGCTGCTTGGTTTTGCGAATATGCATGTCTTATACTATCTGAGTCTGTGGCAAGTGACGATATCACATCTGAAGTTATATTTAATTGCTTAGCGACTCAACATGCCAAATGACGTATATCCGCCAATGCTTTCCCCACAGCTATACTTGGTGCAAATAATTCTGCCAAAATACTTTAGGTGTGATTCCAGATTCTTAAAGTGGAATCGCAATTTGGGCCTACTTGCTCAATGGATCGTTTGTCTCTGCGGAGGCTGCCCTTCATGTCCTGGACTAAATGCCTTTTGGAGGCTGCAAACAGGGACAATTTACCTCGATAACATGGTCCTCCAAAGGGTTTGGAAGGAATTCCTGGCCATGCACGGTCTCCACAAATCATGAAATATCCTGGGGGTAGAGCTTTAGGTATTTTATCATTGTATCGTAACATTGGAGATGATCCTGAGCAGTAAGCGGTTATATTATGATACCATAACCCTAGTTACCTTGGTCTCGTGGACTTTGCTTGACCATGTATTAAAAGTTATACAGCGCTGATTAGTTTTGCCAGATCCCAGGAGATGGAGTTCTTGCATTGGGATAGTGGAATGATTTAAGTTTTTTATTATTATAGCCATTTGGTCTGATGCAACTGTCCAATCGGTCCCTTGAGCTCTCTTGACCATTTTGATCACTGTGGTAAGATTTAGAACCAAGTCATTCCTTACCCATCCCTGAAAATCAAAGGGGCTCAAGTATGGTATACCAATTAGGCACGTTTGAAAAGGATTTCCCACCTGTGCCAAGGTCAGACAGAAATCAGTAACCCCAGTCTTGTTTGCCCATGTGAGCCAGACATATTCGACCCCAGTACTGAAGTTTCTTTTTCTATGGCTTGGACCATGGTATAGATATAAAGGATTAATATCAATAACTGCTTCATTTTAACTAACTATGCTACTTAAATATATATGTCTATTATAATTGGGCCAAGCTTCATGCAATATGTGCAGCACTTGCACTACACTAGCCTTATCTCATATCCAGGTAGTAAGTGATACCCAGATTTATATTCTGATTACAACTGCAACATTGAGTTGACACCCATGGATCAATCTATTTTTCGCAAGTTAGTTTTAATTTCAGTCTGTCATTACCGCTTGATGTGATTTTCCAGGGTGCCTTTGGAGCCTTCTTGACTCGAGTATGATGAATCCAGACGTTTTGTTCTCTAATTTTAATACGTGTGAAAGTTGTGAGTAGTACTTGGAACGGCCCTTTCCACCTTGGTTCGAGGTTTTCTTCCCCTGTGGGTCTGAAAGATTTTATATACACATAATCTCCAGGTTGTATATTATGTATGGGACTATCCAGTCCTCTGTTTCGAGTTCCAGTCACATGTTTTACGATTTTCCTGAGTTGTTGTCCTAACTCTATTATATAGTTATTCATAGTCTCTTCTCCCACTTGGAGAGATGTTCCCTGTTGGACTCCATATCACAGTATCACAGTATCACAGTAGGTTAGAGATTGGAAGGGACCCCAAAAGATCATCTAGTCCAATCCCCCTGCCGGAGCAGGAACACCTAGATAAGGTTACACAGGAACGTGTCCAGGCGGGTTTGAATGTCTCCAAAGAAGGAGATTCCACAACCTCCCTGGGCAGCCTGTTCCATCTGATCACCCTCACTGAGAAGAAGTTTCTTCTCAGGTTTAGTGGAACCTCTTGTGCTCCAATTTGTACCCATTACCCCTTGTCCTTTCATTGTTTGCCACTGAGAAGAGCCTGGCTCCATCCTCGTGACACTCCCCCTTTATATATTTATATACACTAATAAGGTCACCCCTCAATCTCCTCTTCTCCAAACTATAGAGACCCAGCTCCCTCAGTCTTTCCTCATAAGGGAGATGCTCCACTGTCATCCATACAGAATTTCCAAAAGGACTCAACACTTCTTGAGTTCTTGGTTTAGTTTGAATTCTCAACAGAGCTAATGGAAGTGTCTTGGGCCAAGGTAGACTGGCCTCCTGACCCAATTTCACAATTTGTTGTTTAATTAGATGGTTCATTTTCTCCACCTTACCACTTGAGTGAGGGTGGTAGGGCACATGAAGTTGCCAATCAATACCTAAATGTTTGTTAATTTGTGGTACTACTTTTGAAACAAAATGTGGTCCTCTGTCTGAAGATATAGTGGCTGGAACTCCATATCGTGGTATTATTTCCTGTAACAATACCATTGTTACCTCCCTGGCTTGTGCGCTTCTTGTTGGAAAGGCTTCTGGCCAACCTGAAAAGGTGTCTGTTAGTACCAACAAATGTCTATACCCCCTTTTTCTTGGCAGTTCCATGAAGTCAATCTGCCATTGTTGGCCTGGTCCATTACCTCTGCCAATTTAGCCTAATTTAAGCTTGGGAGTAATTTTGGGGTTTGTTTGAAGGCAAAGATCACATTGCTGAGTTACTTGTTGGATGGTAGCATACAAATTTCTAGCTGTGATTTTGTTTATTAAGTATTTATGTTAGGCATCCACTCCCCAGTGTGTTTTGTGATGCTCATTTTTTATAAGGGCCCATAACAAAGAGCAGGGAACAATTATTTTCCCTTGCTGTGTGTGAGCCCACCCCTCCTGATTTAGTATTCCATCCTGATCTTTGATTAATTTCTGATCTTCCTTATTGTAATTTGGCTTACATTCTAAAGCAATGTTCCCATCAGAAATTAAGGCTCCTTCAATAATTACCTCTCCTTTTGCTGCTTCTTTTGCCTCTGTCTGCCAGCTCATTTCCTTCTTCCTGCATCAAGCTCACCTTCTGCTGTGCCTT